ACAAACAGAGTATGTTCAAATGTGAATAACAACTGTTAAGAACTCTCTCTTAGAGTTGATATATAATCAATGAAACTTACTGGAAATAAATATACGCTCAGAAGGGTGGTGAACAATAAATATGAATAACTTGAGTTTTTTCATATTTCTTTGTATCTTCTTCATCTTCATAAATGTTTGCATTTATAGTTGAAGCCCGTTAAGGATCCGTTACTCTTACGAATATAGCCGTTAGAGTTAACAGCTTCTTTTCTGAGGTATCTAAGAACTCGTTGAAGTAGGACAATGGAACAATGCTTTTGGAAAAGCTTTCTCTGTTACGGCAAGTAAGGAAAGTAACACGCCTTTTTATTAAATATTCTGACAAGGTAAGTGAGGATGCTATTTTGAAAGAGAGAAGCTTATTTAGGAATAAGGATTTTATAAGTAAGATAAAACTGAGCCTAACTTAAACTCAAGAATGGGTTTAGAATGATTCTAGAGACATTACATGGTTAATATAACACTCAAAACGCGAAAGGGAATGATTTAGCAAAGGTCATGAAAACCTCTGTTTTTCTTACACGAAACAGAGTATGAACATGTATGGTTATTTCAGAATAGGCGAGACTTTTCAAAAATAAGGAAGAACAAATTGAATGAAAATGTAGAGAGCTTATTTCAAAGTAAATTGCATATATCGGAATAAAGTTATGAGACGATGATTTGAAAGACTTTATTTCGGAACAGAGAAGATTATTTTGAAATAAGCTATTCCTGACAAGACTATTCGTAAACAAGCTAAACTTTAGAAAGACTCAATGCACTTATAAAGATCAGACCACTATTAAAAACTGCTATTCCGAAATAGACTATTCCTAAATAGGTAGAAGGGAAGATATTTGGGAAGAAGGGAGTCTTACTGGGGAATAAGCTATTTTGGAATAAGGTCACTATTCCAGAATAAGGACCAAAGATCAAGAAAACAATAAAGGCGCACAAAGATGAGATTTTGATCCAGGAAAACTTGAGACACCATTTAAGCCATATAAGAGATTAAGATTAAGTAAAATACTTAATCTGTTTCGAGAAACACAACGAAAGAAGATCAAAGAATATTTTTACGTGTTTCTGTCAATTTTGGAATAGGACAACTATTTAAGAACAGAGAGTCCTTACAAAAATTTAATTTTAAGTTGATTAATTTCCTTACGAGCCATTGATTCGTGATTATTAAACCTATCAAACACAACCTTCTCTTATTTTATAATCATCAAAATCAGGGTTCAACAATGTTCTGGCGAGGCATGACTCTTGGTGACGCTACCTGGAGACAAAGGATAAAATAAAGCAGAAGTATCCCCATCTATTTCCTTAAGTATGTATCTAAGTGTTTTATAAATTTTGGGGACAAAATTCTTAAAAAGAGGGGAGAACTGTAACATTCTAATTTTCTAATCCTGCAATTAGCTATTAATTAGGGTAAATTAGTAATTAATGTGTGATTAATATTTTGAGTGATAATGTGGAGATTTGACTCTTTGGGATGTTTTGAGCAAAGCGTGTGCACGCGGTGAAGATTTCCCTCCTGTGCCATGCGCCGCGGCTCATGAACTAGAAAATGACCTGATTTAATCATGGTTAACCTATGATTTTAGGGGAAATAAGCAAAGAAAAACACGAAAAAAGAGGAGAAGGGAGAGATCTCAACTAGGGCAAGCATTTTTGGGACCTTGGAAGAGATTTCCAACTAATGACTTATCAGGTAAGTTTCGTACAGCCCTTAACTTCAATTCTACTATAATTTTTCTTAAGATAAGTTATAGAGAAATTTAATCAGGAAAGTTTAAGGGGTTTGTTTCTTACCCTATAGTAATATAAAGGTTCTCGATAGTTAAATTAGAACTTTGTGATTTTTTGGAGTTGAACGATAGAGCTTTGAAACTTTAGGGTCTATTTGGCTCTAAATTAGAGGAGAAATAGGGTGGAAATCATATGGAAGCGAAATGGAATTATTGAAAATGATAGGAATCGGTAATTGAATGGTAATGAACCCAGATTGAGTATGTGGGAAGAAATGGATGGCTAGTTATAGCCTTAATTGACAATTTAGATCAATTGACTAATTGTGCCAATTATATGTAGATTGGCATATTCCACGTGTAGAGACTAGTTAGTGATTGAAAAAGTACCATAGGTAACCTTTCTTGTGAGAAAAGGGTTGAGGTAATCGAATAACTTTCTCTGTTTGATTATCTATTGTACCTGTTTGAAAGTATGAGTATTACTGCATGAAATGATTTAAGAATAAGCATGTTTGTCAACTAAACATTTATTGCATGACATTGATTTGTAAAGAATTGAGTTTATGACTTTGAATGCTTTGTGATTATATATATACATATACATATGCATATGGTTGTATATATTATGGAAATGTGGTGATCATAAGAAAGCATGATTAGAGGGGTAGGAATTCACCCATAGAGAAAAAGTAGAGAAAGATCATATGGCATTATTTTCCTTAGTGTTTGATGGGGTGTGGTGTTAGAGAATTGTATCTCCTTAGTACCTATTGAGGTGCAATGTTAGAGATTATCTCCTTAGTGCCTATTAAGGTGCGATGTTGGAGATTTGGACTCCTTAGTATCAATGCAATGTGGTGTTAGAGTTAACGACACCCCTTGTGCGTATTGGGAGAAACCAGAGTCTAAAAATGTGATAGAACACCTTTGGCTGGGTGATTCTACTATTAAAGGTGAGCTCAGGGCCAATGAGAGGTGTAAGGCAAGCCTATGGTTTCAAATCAGGGTGATTTGGAGGTTTGGTTGGTAGTGATCATGCTATATGCTAGAAAAGAGGTGAAAAGTGGTGAATGAAATTGTAAAAGAGGCAAAATGATATGTTGATGTGATTTAAAGTAAAATATGTTATATGTTATATTTCCCTGTACATTATGCTATACTTGCTTATGGTTGCATGTGATAATCAATAGTAGAGAGTTATTCTATTACTAAGATTATTATTTCATCCCATGGTTACATTTTTACAAGACAAATAGTGATCAGGACAAGGAAAAAGAGTTTGGACAGGCATAGTGGTGTCATTGCTGTGGAAATTCTTGAGTTTTTGCAATGAGCTAATTTAATGTGAATATTGTATATATAAGTTGTCATAATGATTGCATGTATGTTTGAATTGTGAAATGTAGAAAATTGTAGTGATTTTTGTGAATCTTAACCCATATGGAAAATGTGTGGTGAAATGATTGATTAGGGCTAAGATTTAGTTGTGCATATATTGTAAACGTGTTAGAAGTGAATATGAAGTGAGTTTATGGTAATAACGTGGTGAAAATAGTTAAATGATTATTTTTGCAAATATTGTGAAATGTGAAAATGGGCCGTTGGACGGTCAAATTGTGATATATGTGTGTATCTGCTTATATAATTTGATCAATCAGGTGTATTAGGTTCTTTTGAATTTGGTTCAAGGCCTAAAACGGTCTAATGAGACAATGTGAGCGAATTGTATGCTTAGGTGTGCTAAATTTTATAAAAAGTGACTTTTTACACTCAGGTATCTAAATTTTGATTGGACCGTTGGATCGTGTCCAAACTTATCTGATTAGTTAGTTTATGAAATGAGTTTTGTGTGGACGTTTGAATCATTCTTATTGGACGTCGTATGGGGAAACGATGTATGTTAGAAGTTTGCTTTGCAAACTGGTTTATGATAGCAACTTGAATTGTCATGTGTGCCACAGCACAAGGCTTGACAAGCCATAGCGCATGGCACAGAAATTGAAAATCAAATTGAATCGAATCGAATTTTTATTATTTGATTTGATCTATTTAGTTTTTCAATTCAATTTGGTATTTTTTTAAAAAATTTGGTTGATCAGTTTGATTTGGTTGGTACAATTTAAAATCGAAATGATCAAACCGACCGAATTATATATAATTTATTAATTTATAAATTATATTTAATTTATTAATTATTTTATTTTATTAATATTATATTTAAATAAAATAAATATAATTTCGCTCATTTGGTTTTCTTCCGTTTCACATTCGCAAAGTAAAATTTTACTTTTAAGATACTAAAAGTTGTTTGGATAAATATTTTCTAGGAAAGCACATTTAAACAATAACTGAAAGTGAATTTGTGAAACGAAACTATTTAAAATTTTTAAAGAGTGGATTTGAAAAGTATGATGTTATTTAATTATACTATCACAAGTTTAATCTCTTATTCTTTTATTTAAAAAAATTAATTCATTAAAAATATAATTATCATTTCAATAATAATAATTAGACATCAAGTTTTTAGCATTATAAATTAATAATTAATCATGTTAATTTTTAGCATTAATGTATACTCCCTCCATTAAAAAATGTAAAGGCATTTTTATTGAATTTCACTCTATAATAAAATAGTTACCTATTTTCAAATTAATATTATCTTTTCATATTTACCCCTATTAAACACCCTACAATAAATATAAAGTCATTCATCAATAGGGGCGCTTTTGAAAAGTAATGATTACCCTTCAAAAGACCAAAATACTTTATATTTTTGAACATTTAACTCCTCAAAATATCTTATATTTTAGAACGGAGGGAGTAATAAAAATTACAAATCTTCATCACATTTTCTAAAATTACAAATAAAAAAGTAAAATAACTAGATATTAAGTTTTTAATATTATAGATCAAATTTATATTATTTAAAATCTTTATACATTTTTAAAATATTTTAAATATATTATATTTATACAATAAAAATTATAAATCATCATAAATGTTCTTTTTAATAATTGCATATTTAAAAGTATATTTTACTATTATAATTTAAATAATTTTTAATATATCGAACTGACTTTTTAAAAAAATATATTTAAATATAAATTTATTATAATAATTAATTTTTATTAAATTAATTTTTATAAAATAAATTTTCATCAAATAAATTTTTATAAACTGAAAATTAAACTAAACTGACACTCAATCTGGCTCTCGTCTCTGTTCTCTCGCCGCTCGCAACTCTTGTTGTCTCATCTCTGTTCTCTCAGCCTCAGGCCCTCATTCCGGCTTTTTGCCAGTCGCAGACCGCCACAACCCACCCACAAACCTGACTCTTACTCCTCCAGCAAAGACTGAAGAGAGGCTCTCACACTTCCAGTTGGCGTGCTCGCGTTCTCGATCTGTTCTCTCGGCGAGTCAACATCTCAGATTGTCTATTCTCTTACAGTCTCCTCCAGTGAAGAGAGTCTCTCACACTCCTAGTCGACATCTCGGCTTCTCAACTCTCAGTCGCTCACTTTCAGCTCAATCTCTGCCTCTGTCACTGTGCGAGCATTGTGAGGTCCGTCTTCTGTCTCTGTCTCTGCTTCTTGGCTCTTTTTTGTTTATGTCGTCTGTTCTTTTCAGGCTTTGACCGGATTATGGCACTGTTATTTGATTATCTGTGGCTGTTTTTGATTTTGATGATTTTTTCAACTGTTTGGATTTTATGTACCTAAGTACCTGTTTATTTCCTTCTTCCTTAGCTGTTGTCTGTTGCAAAAGGCTTCATGATATCTGGAAAGAGTTATGAATGTGTATCTTGCGGATGAATAACTTTCCCATAAATTCATCCCTATGAATCTTTATATATTTGTTTGAACCTTCAAATACCCTTTGATTGCACAGCTAGCAAGGAAGACTTGATACTCCTAGTGTCAAGGCCACCATTTCTCATTCTATTGGAGGTGTTGTATATAAAGTACCAGAGCTTGGAAATGACAATATGCTAAAAATAAGTCAGAGGAGTTTGGGCAATGAAGATACAACTCCCATCTCTCAGGTTTCTCCTATATCATTATTGCTCATTCCATTTTTCTATTGCTGTGGGTCGTGAGGTTAGGTGTAGACAAAGGGTATAGGTAGTGTTGGTAGGGGTAATGACTACTTTTTGGCTCTTTAAATCTTTCCTTCCTCCAGAGGGAGGGGAGTTCAGTCTTTTGGAAATTGAGAGAGGTGAAGAGAGTTTTGGCCTCTTGAAAGCCAGGTTGGGTTTAGAGGAAGATCATCTTTCTTCATCATTTTCTCCTTTTGTTTTAGTGCCTATTAGTGAGTTTAAACTTTTTGTGTCTTCTGTGTGAGTTTTCTTTAATTGTGACTCCCTTTCGTTCTTTTGAGCAGAAGAATATCCTGATATTTAATATATATTTCGTGTTAGATATCTACTATTTTGCTTGGGCTCTAGCACTCTCGCTTCTAAAAGACATAGCACATTAAAACTAGAAAAAGCTTGTGCTTCAGGATTTACATCTCCCAATTAAGGGCATAATTTTGTGATAAAGACTTATGCGAGTTTTCTAATTGGATCAATTGAACCTAATATATTGAGAATTAAAAAAAAAATTGAATGGAAAATTTTTCTGTAATGCTAAACACCATTATAACATTAGAATGGAAACAAAGGCTGCTCTAACATCTAAGAATGAAAACCATCCTCCAATCATATAAAAGAGATAATAAGAACACTATAAAGAAAACAAAACAGAACATGAGAACAGGTAAAATCAAAGATTGAGTTAACAACTTGATATATAAATTAAATAAACTCGTCTTGTTGGGTCAAGATAATCAAGTACCTGCCAAAATTGAAGCAAAGCATGCAGGATAGCAATAGTAAAATTTTCTAAATAAGTAGAAGAGAAAAAGATAAGATAGCCCTTGGGCAGAATGATAGAGAAATGAAAAAAATGACCAATAACAAGTTAAGAAATAGCAAGTAGCATAAAAAGAAAATAAAATACTGAAAGTAGAAGCATACGGGAGATAATGATATATGGAAAACAATAGCATCCAATTAGCTAGCAAAAACATCCCGGAATAGCCCCCAAAAAAATTTTTTGGTGTGAATGAAATTAATTTTTTTCTTGCAAATTAATTATTTAAACATAATCAAAGAAGAAAAAGTTATTTCATGTTTAACGTAATATCTCTAGTCAGATTATTCTCTGGTATTTTCTACCCTTTCATCCTTTTTTCAATCTCTCGCCACAGAGACATGAACTGTTATTTAATCTTGTTGATTGTAGGAAGGATGATCAGAGTCAATCAATCTTTGATCGAGTAGTGTCATACACCCTTGTTATAAATAACCCACGATAAACCCAGAAACCAACATTACAGTTACAGATGAGACTGTGGCATTCGTTCAAAAAGAAATAGTGATCACAATATTTCTCGAAACTGAGACATAATTAAAAACAAGCAGTATTGGATGGACAGAAATGATGAAGCTTTTATACTCACTTGTTGACAAGAATGCTGCTTTGCAGAGCAAAACAGAGTAAAACCAAGATTACAGAACCAAGGGAAGGGGTGAGGGACAATGAAGGACCAGACAATGGACTGAAGGTGTGCAGCTGGCCAAGTTTCAACTACCTTCGTGCATGCAACCCTGCAAGTGAGATTTAGAAATGAGGTTTTTGAGAGGGGAGACTTGAGTTTGAGTGCTGCATTTCGCTTGAATCCCAATGAAGAAGGGAAGAAGGCAGGGCTGTACAAAGGATGGACAGTTTGTCTCTTTCATGGAAAGGATTGTGCTAAGCAACCCGTGGTCGGATACAGTCCAGGCAGGACCTAAAGTTGAGCAAGACCATAATTGGTCTATAGGACTAGGAGGCTAGTTTCAGTAGTCCAGTACCGCACTTTGCTTTTTTCCCCCTTTTTCTTCTTTGAGAAGCAATAATTTATTTTAACATAAGAAACTCAATTAAGATAACAAAAACTCTTGTAATCATATAAAATTTATCACAAAACATTAAAAGCTAATTATAACAAATCCATAAAAATCTCCAACGATAACAAAAAGTATTTCAATTATAATCCAAAGGATTCAAATTCATAACAACATTCAACAAACTTCAACATATCTAAACTACATTACAAGAAGTTAACAACAAACTTCAACCAATCATGAAAATTAAAGCCATAATTGTTTATCTAAATAAATACTATCATTCTGGTGTAGTTTTCTTCCACCTTGTATGCTTTTGTTATCCACAGATTCTACCTTGGTATTAGTTCAAAATAAATACTATCATTGTTTTTCTTTCACCTTGGTATTAGTTCTTAAAGAAAAAAGATATTTCATGTTCTTGATCACCACTATTAAACATAAAATTTTCATTCATGGATAAATTAGCACAGTAATCTCATGCTTGACTGATGTGAAAATATCTTGCAACCATGCAAGACCATGTTTATCAATAGGAAGACAAACACAGTTATCACCCCCCCAGAGCTGAATTTACATGACTATAATTTTGAATAGGATGTCAAATTGCAAAACCTTTTCACTAATTTAGATTTGAGAGAGTCAATATGATATCAGTAATCTAAGTTAAGAGGAAAGAATACATGGCTGCTACAATTTGTGAAGAATCCTGGAGAACAAACGTAATATATCTCAAGCAAAAGACTAAATAATGGCTTGCAGACCAAGCTGTTAATAACAATGGCCAAAAGAAGAATCATCAAATCTCCCTACATACACAAAATTAGGATGACAGATCATCCACATTTTAATTCACAAATGGCGTACTACAATCTTTTCCTTTTGTAGCTGTCTGAATTCCCATCAATGCAAGAAAGTAGCAGAAGTTCATGATTAGCTCGAATATCTTATCGATGCAAGCAGTAGAAATATCTCAAATTATCTCTTCACACACATTAAGACAAGAAATTAACAATCAAGATAGTAGTACACAAATCAGACCTTAGAGATAGCAGAACATGAACGAATCACCAATCATAGGCGAGAGGCAATGCGAATCAGAGGCAAAAGGTGAGCACTCGTTGAACAACAGATGGCAGATGTCCCGATCGACAGTGAATCCAGGGTTTTGGCGGAGGGCAGAGGTGAGAGAAGTTGAGAACAAGGCGAGGCTAGGGTTGCAAGCTGAGGCTGTAAGGGTGCGAGTGTGTTCTATGTAGTGCCAATGGCTTACAACAGATGGCAAACGTATAATGGTGTTCTTTGGGTGAGTTTATGTTCATTTTATATATCAAGTTGTTAAATCAATCTTTGATGTTACCTGTTGTCATGTTCTATTTTGTTTTCTTTATAGTGTTCTTATTATCTTTTATATGATTGGAGTATGGTTTTCATTCTTAGATGTTAGAGCAGCCTTTGTTTGCATTCTAATGTTATAATGGTGTTTAGTATTACAGAAAAATTTTCCATTCAAAAGTTTTTTAATTCTCAATATATTAGGTTCAACTGATCCAGTTAGAAAACTCACATAAGTCTTTATCACAAAATTATGCCCTTAATTGGGAGATGTAAATCCTGAAGCACAAGCCTTTTCTAGTTTTAATGTGCTATGTCTTTTAGAAGGGAGAGTGATAGAGCCCAAGCAAAATAGTAGATATCTAACGTGAAATATATATTAAATATCAGGATATTCTTCTGCTCAAAGGAACGAAAGGGAGTCACAATTAAAGAAAACTGACACAGAAGACACAAAATGTTCGAACTCACTAATAGGCACTAAAACAAAAGGAGAAAATGATGAAGAAAGATGATCTTCCTCTAAACCCAACGTGGCTTTCGAGAGGCCAAAACTCTCCTCACCTCTCTCAATTTCCAAAAGACTGAACTCCCCTCCCTCTGGATGAAAGGAAAGGTTTAAAGAGCCAAAAAGCAGTCATTACCCCTACCAACACTACCTATGCCTTTTGTCCACACCTAACCTGGCTACCCACAGCAATAGAAAAATATTGGGAGAATTACTTTAAGGTCCTTGGGAGTAATTAATTGTGTTGAGTGGAACTTGAATGTATTTCTCCCAAAAAATATTTGACGACAGTTTTCCTGTGTCTCTTTTCAGCTCACCATTTAAAAGTTTAAATCACCTTTCATGCATAGCAAATATAATATGATTTCTCTCCTTTTTATTTTTGCTGCTCTCTTGTGACTTACAAGAGGTATAGGCTGTATTCTTTAAGAATCCTGATATGTAGACTACCTTGTTTGTATGAATTCCTCAACAAGTCATGTGCTAATTGCAGAACAACTTGTGATTCTAACTATTTCCAGTCTCATAATATGTGCTAGTTGACACTTATTTATTTGTTTCTTTTTATATTGTTCTTCTTTCCCTTAATACAAGTATTTTTGAGAAGAAATTGAACCATTGTTGTAAATATTTTGTAACATGTGATTAACCAATTGATGCTCTATCATAAATACATGCATACCCATTTTTGGACAGTGTGTGCCTTCTTTTTCATCTATAGATGCACACTATATATGAGTAGTTTGGAAATAGATTTGCATAGAAATGACATATAGAGGAGGACGAGGAGGGGGTTATGGAGGTTGGTGTGGCCATTCATTTGCCAAACCAGAGGCATTTGTGCTTTTTCATGAGGTAGTTTGATCTATCTTTGAGACATTGACTATTCAATTTTTCTTTCATTATCAAAGGCCTAGGATTTTGTGCAGAAATTGAACTTAATAAATATGTTGGACTTTGTTAAATCTAGATTTTGGTGTGTTCTTGACTAAACAAACATATTAGTGCAGATGACAGTTAACCTTAGCTGAGGCAGTCTGGCTGGGGAGGGATGGATAGTGTAGACAAAGAAAGCAATTGTGTCCAGTAATTTGACGATGTGTGCTTCTTGTTGGGTGGTTGAATAATTTATGTAATGAATATACAAAATCTTTTTGACTTGTTGATTGAGATGTGGATAATTATAATGAACTCAGTTTATTCCTAACGAGTTGTTCCAATGGAACTAGATGCAAACAAAAATTAAAACAAAACGGAAGTAGATAAAAACCAAAAATTAAAACAATGAACTCTAGTGTCTTCTGCCAGTCTTGTGTTTTATTATGGATCTGACATCTCAGTAATTCTGTTAAAAAGTTGTGGGAATACTTGTATATCCTGTGATCAATAGTTACTATTAACAACTTACATGGCTGTTCATAACTACAGGATGTTATCTTGCCTGGTGCTAAAATGGATGATATTGATGCCAGTATGAAAAGGTTGCTTAACTGGAATAACAAGTTGAAGAATTACTGGAAAGCCTCTCCTTATTTTCTAGAGGACACTAACTCAAAGAGTAAGCTTAAAATTCTTCTCATATGATTTATGTATCAGAGGAAGTCAATTAGATATTTAAAATCCGTGTCAATTCGAAAATATTTGACAATGTACCATAATTGAAGTCAGAGGTGGTGGGTAACTATAGCACACGATTTCAAGTTATAGACGTCTTTCAGTGTACTCATTGCATGAACTTTGCATTCCTGTTACACCATTACCGTGGCATTTTTCTTTTCAAACTATGCTTATGCAAACAATTCTCGCGTCAAATTCTTGGAATGAATTTTTGTGTCTTAAACATATGGGACAATTTAGAAAGCTGATGCTTCATTTCATGAATATAGAAGCAGGAAACTCAAGTAAATAGTATAGTCTTACAAGTGGAGAGTGAGAAGTGAGGATACTTGCTTTGGACCTAGTGTGTACGCTCTCTGGTGTCTGTATTAGATAAATTCTTTCACTCCAAGGAAGCTAATTAGTGCCACATATCCCATCAGATGGGATTAAAGGGGTCTTGGTATCTAATCTGGTTTGAGGTGCAACCAGATAGACCAGACATAGAGGTTTTTAAAAAATTACTTATTTTCTATTGCATATTTCCCTTTTATTGTGTTAAGCTTCATTTACATTATTTTAATATCAGTCCAAATGTCAGAGAGGCAAAGGCTAGACGTGGAAAGATTTTCTGACTGGCAAAAGACTCTGTTTACTCGCGATTCTCTTTCACAAGTTTTAGAGTTCAAAGATTTCCCTAAGGAGTTGACTCAAGGTATATATAATGGAATACATACAATAGCCATGTTTTGAATTCCACAAATATATTACACTTCTAATCTTTTAGGTTCATTTTGATGAAGATTCACCAAATCGCCATATGGTATTCTTAGGTAAAGCAAGACGTATGTCAAAGCGGAAAAATTTCCTGTGGAATCCAGAGTCAGGTTTGATGATTTCACTTGCATTTTGTTTGTATTTATTTGTTGAAGTTGTCAGTTGTTTGCTAATTTGAGCCATGTATTCATTTTAACGTTTGGCACAGAAGTTCATCTTTATAGTGCAAATAGATCTCTCCCTCTTAAAAAAATCACGAAACTTCTATTACTGGTTCTATCACATATATATACATATAATTGAGTTATTTTGAAAAATAAACAGTATATTTTAATGGCAAATTTTCCATGAAAAATGCAGTAAGATACATAAATGTTGCAGAGCTTCACCTGCTGCCAAAATTGGTTTCCAATGAATAGATTTTGTCACATTGTGCGGGATTTGCATTAAGTGTGAACTTTGGCTTTTAGGCATATCCTTCTTAACTTATGATAGAATTATATTATAGACACATAGACTTGTGATGTTGCATAGGACTTATTTAAGATGCTTATGTGACAGATTTGAAGGCACTAGATTTCTTTGAACAGCTTGAGAAAAAGGCCCAGGTAAAGTACCTCAGCTTAAAATATCTTGCCAACATTTTTCCATGGTAACATAACGGTGGTCAGTGGTCACAGTTCTCGTCCAATGGATTCCTTATTTAATTTGGTACCAGTTCAGTCTATACTACTTGGAGGTGGTTTGGTAGCGTTTTTTTAATACTTTTAAGTAGCATTTGGATTTGAATTTTAGATTAGAATCTCGTGTTTTAAGTTTCACATTTAAAATTCATGTATTTAAAATCCTTTGGTTGCATAGTTCAAAAAAATTCAAATGAAGAAAAAAGATGAGTTAATATTCCAAACGAAAATGAAAAATCAAGAGTGATGAGTTTACCTTTATTTTTTAATCAACAAGAAATGAGAAGAGATGAGAATTATAGAGACATTAATATTGAAAATACGAAGAGAATAAGAGACTTGAATTTCAAATGATTAAGGTGTAGAGAGAATTTTAAAGGATTTGTATTTGAATAAAATTCTAATCCATAATTTTTTTTCCCCAAATGATGGATTTGGTTTAAATCCAAATCTCCATTAATTTTAACACACCATTACTCTTTTCTAATATAATTTTGGTTTAATAAATGAAGGGGGGATGGTTCCCTCCTTGTCAAATGTAAACTTAGTCCTGTGCCCTTGACCAATATTGTAAGAAATAGTGGGTCTGATCCAATGTAAGATGATATTTGCATTTACCGATGTGAAACAGTATAGGCTACTTCACTTGTGCAGTGGTTCCCAAATCCTTTGTCAATGATTCTTTTTTCTACTGGGTCATGAAGATAAAGGTGAAAAAGAAAAGAAAGAAGGGGAAAATGAAGATGATGATGAAAATGCAGAAAATGAGGAGGGCGAGGAAGAACTTAGTGATGATGACTATAATCAGGTTCTGCAATGGCCTCGACTTTGATGTCATAATTTTCTGTCATATTATTATCTTATTGACTCTTTCAAAATTAGTCTGCTTTTTTGTTGCAAATTCCATTCATCAGCAGCCAATGTAAAACTTTGTTGAATCTATCATGAACATGGACAATAGACGTTATAATGTTAATGCTAGGTCGTTGCCCGTAAGTAACGCGCTGCATGGCTCGAGTACAGTGATAAGTGAGTTAGAGCCGCTGCATCGGCGCCCGGATGTAGTGTTAAATGAGCAAGGGCTACTACGTCATTCTGGACGCACGCGGCTAAAGAAGTTAGTCCATAAGAGCAAATTTAGATTTGGTACTTGGAATGTTGGGACATTAAATTGTAAATCTGTAGAGGTTGTAGGGGTTATGATTCAAAGGAAAATCAATATCTTTTGCTTGCAAGAAACAAAATGGTGTGGAGAAGAAGCTAAGGATATTCAAGGTTTCAAACTTTAGTATACAGGAAAAGTAAGTGCACGCAATGGAGTAGGCATCATTATAGATAAGGAGTGGAAGAACGTTGTAGAAGTTAGCAGAATTGGAGACAGAATTATTTCCTTAAAAATGATAATTGGACGTGAGACTATTAATATTGTTAGCGCTTATGCGCCGCAAGTCGGGACAGAAGCCAGTCTTAAGGAATTATTTTAGGAGGATCTGGAGGGGTTGATTCGACACATACCATAGAGTGAAAAGATTTTTATTGGAGGAGACTTTAATGGACATGTCGGGAGGGAAGCTGGTCAGTATGCGAGGGTGCATGGTGGTTTTGGTTTTGGAGAGCTAAACAATGAAGGACAAACTCTTCTTGATTTCTCATTGGCGTATGATTTTAAGATTGCCAACACTTGTTTCAAGAAGAGAGATGAGCATCTCATCACTTACAAAAGTGGAGCCTCAAGGTCACAGATTGATTTTCTTTTGGTTAGGAACATAGATAGAAGACTTTGTAAAAATTGTAAGGTGATCCCCGGAGATGCTGTAATGACACAACACAGGGTCCTAGTCCTTGATGTGTGTATTATGAGTAAAATCCAAAAACGTCGACAAGTAGTAACACCAAGGATTAGGTGGTGGCAATTAAAAGGTGAGAAGCAAGATATTTTCAAGCGAAATCTTTTGGATAAAGGAATTTGGGAATCTCAGGGAAGTGCTAACATCATATGGGAGGATATGGCTAAAAAGATACAGGAGGTTGCAAAAGTAGTTTTGGGAGAATCGAAAGGTTCTAGTCCGAGAGATAAGGAGACTTGGTGGTGGAATAATAGTGTACAAGACAAAATCAAGTATAAGAAGAACTGTTTTAAAGCCATACATTTGTGTAACAATGAGGAAAATTGAGAGAGGTACCGTATGGCTAAAAAGGAAACTAAGAGAGCTGTGGATGAAGCTTGTTCTAAAGCTTTTGAAGAATTTTATAAGAACCTTGAGACGAAGGAAGGAGAGCAAAATATTTATAAGATTGCCAAGAGTAGGGAAAGAAAATCAAGAGATCTAGAACAGGTAAGGTGTATTAAGGATGAAGAGGGAAGAATTTTAGTTACAGATGATGAAATTAAAAATAGATGGGAGACTTACTTTTCTAAACTTTTCAATGATGGAAAGGATTCATCTAGTAACTTGGAGGATTTAGTAACTGGTGAAGGAGAACAAAATTTGTCATTTTATCGAATAATACGTGATAAGGAGGTAAAGGAAGCTCTTAAGAAAATGGCAAATGGTAGAGCCAACGGACCTGATTGTATATCTATCGAAGCGTGGAAATGTTTAGGTGAAGAAGGGGTGAGATGGTTAACTAAGTTATTTAATGTGATTTTACGGTCCAAGAAAATGCCTGATGAGTGGAGGAGAAGTACATTAATTCCTATTTATAAAAATAAAGGGGATATTCAGAATTGTACTAACTATAGAGGGATTAAACTCATGAGCCACACAATGAAATTGTGGAAGAAAGTAATTGAGCATAGGTTGAGATTGGAGACAAGTATTTCTGAGAATCAATTTGGTTTTATGCCAGGTAGATCAACTACAAAGGCGATTTATCTACTAAGGGGATTAATGGAAAAGTATTGTTGTAAAGACAAAGATCTACACATGGTTTTTATTGATTTGGAAAAAGCTTATGACCGTATACCAAGAGAAGTGCTTTGGAAAGCGTTGGAAAAAAAAGAAGTATGGATTGCTTATATTAAAGCCATACAAGATATGTATGAGGGGGTAAAAACTAGTATAAGAACGCCTAGTAGTCAAACAAAGGATTTTCCTATAAAGATTGGACTATATCAGGGATCATCTCTGAGTCCTTATTTGTTCAACTTGATTTTAAATGTTTTGACGGAACATATTCAAGAGGAAATCCCGAAATGTATGCTCTTCGCGGATGATATAGTTTTTATAGCAGAGACAAGAGAAGAGGTTAATTGCAAAATTGAGTTATGGAGGAGGATATTGGAGTTGAAAGGTTTTCGTCTGAGTAGAAGTAAGACGGAATATTTATATTGTAAATTTAGTAAAGGACTATTCGACAATAATTTGAAAGTGAAATTGGGAAATCAAATTATACCTCAAGTGGAAAAGTTTAGATATTTGGGAGCCATTATTCAAAATGATGGCGAAATCAGTGGAGATATTTCACATAGAATTCAAGCTGGGTGGTTTAATTGGAGAAAAGCTAAAGGAGTTATTTGTGATCGTAAGGTGCCTAATAAACTTAAAGGAAAGTTTTATCGCACTGCTATCAAACCGGTAATGTTATATAGTAGTGAATGCTGGGCTCTAACGGGACAGCAAAAGCATAAAGTTGGAGTAGCAGAGATGAGAATGTTACGATGGATGTGCGGACATACTCGTAAAGATAAAATTCGAAATGAGCACGTACGTGAAAAAGTGAGGGTGGCACCTATTGAGGAAAAAATGGTAGAAAATCGGTTGAGATGGTTTGAGCATATACAAAGACCAAGGGAGGCACCAGTGAGAAGAGTGGAACATATAACTTTGAGTCCGATTAAGAGAGGTAGAGGAAGGCCTAAGAGAACACTCTTGGAAGTTGTTGAGCGCGATCTCTTAATTAATAATATTTCTAAAAGTTTGATAAATAATAGAGCACAATGGCGTCTTGCAATCCATGTAACCGACCCCACCTAGTGGGATAAAGGCTTGTTGTTGTTGTTGTTGTTGTTGTTGTTGTTGTCCATTCATCAGCAGTTACCTCAAATCCCTCATTCTCTTACGATAACCATGGGATGCCTTCTTTTTCCTTTTCCATTAAATCACATGGCAGTATAAACTTAAGTTTTGACTTTTGAACAATTATATGAGTGCTTGGCGCTTACACCATGTGTTTTGCAATTTTCCTAACGTGGCATACAAGAGGCTTAACAATTTCCTGTAGTTTGAGGTTTATTGTTGAAGATTGATGAGTCAAGTCACTAATTCAGAAATTCTCTTTCTTTATGTCTTTTGCAATATAAATTGTAAAATTGCAAAATCTATGTTTATGATTTTGTGTTGAAAAGCTTAAATGAGAAAACAAAATGTTCAACTCGAACTAATACCTTGCTCTTGCAGAATGAATATTTGGACGATGATGAAGATGATTACAATGATGTGGATGAGGGGGAAGGTATTGTCCGCTTGAACATCACTTTAGTGGTTAATTGCAAGTGCCATTTCTTTTTTTAATTCACTTTGATCATCTTCTATTTGAATATTTAGCTTTGGCGTTTTTCAGTGTCGTCAACTTCTAAATATTATCATGCTTAACTCTCCTTTTCACTTATTGCAGATGAAGGCGTCTACTAAGAATATCTGGAAAATGATTTTCTGCCCCAGATTTTGAGGAAAATATATTGAACAGTGGTTTTAACCAGGCTAGTGGGCATGCAGGTTAGGGTCAGTATTTCGGGTGGGGTGGGTATATTCGAGCTGGGTTTTAAAATACATAAATATATAAAGCTCATGTAGTTAAGCCTGAATCTACTACTTTAGCCTTTTGGGTTAGTCCAAATTGTTGAATATTATTTTATTTTTTAACAAATTTCAATTTTTATTATAGAAAATTAAAGTTTTTCAATCAACATAATATAGCATCTTTTTTCCCCTATCCTTGTCAAAGTGGGATCAAACATAAAGCATTTGAAATAACCTTGTGTTTTGTTTTTACTTAATATTTTTTAAAAAGTACGGAACAAACAGTTATTAGAATATTAAAATTTTATTTATGAATGTGAAATATGCAAACTTGGGTATTCGGGCATCCCATGCAAATTTGGGTTTGGCTTGGATTTTTTTGAGCTTATTTAGGTAGTTCCAATAATGGAATAAATTCAGCATAAAAAAAAAATTCTAAATTCAAACTCAGTCCTAAAATTTTTCAGCCTAACCTGTTTGGTTCAGATTACTGGCTCAAACGCAGGTTGGGAGATTGTTTGATTGGCCAGGGGCTGCAGAGGAAGTATTGATAGGGAATGATATGGTTTTCCTCAGAATTGCTGATAAAAAAAAACATATCGCATCATTTGGAATAGACCACAGAAGAGAGAGTCTAACATTAATTTATATCGCCAGCATGTTGGATATATATTTTGGGTTACAAATGATTACGGCATGAAAACATGGATCATCATGTTTTCAAAATATACACCATTAATCAGGAATGTCTCGGCAATCAATTTTTTTTTTCCCCTCCTTTTTCTGAACTTCTGTTTGTTAGAGTTAATTCATAGTCCACGTGTACTGTCATTAAGTTATATGTACAGTTCTAGCAAATGTTCTGTTAGTGTTAGTTGTAACTGACTGTACATGTGGATGTATGTTGATGCCTATAAACAATACTTTGCATGGTTCTCAAATCATCTCATCTGAGCCATTTCACCTTCGTCTCTGTACTTTTCATTTTGTTTATCTGGAAAACGTGAGCTTATCATATCAGCAATACATTCTATTTACGTGAGAATAATTTTGATTTGGAAAATATGTTGTGGGATTAGGTTCTATCAATTTATATTGTGATGGCTTATTTTATTTTTATTTTGATCGTTAACACCACAATCTTTATTTTATTTTATTTTTATGTTGTAGTCATTATTATTGAGATTGCATTTTACCAACATTTGTAATCATAATTCTTGATTAGAAAAGTGATAAGTGAATTAATCAAATAATGTACCGGAAAAAATAGTATAATTTCTTTTACAAATTAGAAATCTCAAGTGGGTAATAGTATCATGTATGATATTCATATTTCATGATGCTATTTTTTTACCAGCTCCATAATGTTAATTCATAATATTATTTAAAAACAATATATGAGCTTGCAATAATCATTTGTTTTCTAAAACTTGTAGTGCACACCACTACAAGAAAATAGAAAATAGAAAAAGATACAATCAAAATACAAAAAGGAGAAAAAAACATGAGAAAATGATAATAAAATATTTTTAAATTATATAAACAACAATTTGATCTTTAAAATTGTCATTAATGAATTAATATAAATGATTAAGTTATTCTTGATTTATTATATTATTGAAAGGTGGCAAATAATAAGTGTCAATCACAAGTATTATTTAAATAATTACAATTTTTTTTAAATTGTAAGCATGCAATAGAAAATTAAAGTTCGCATTTTAACTTGATATTCCTAAAGTTGTGATTATTAAAGAAATATTAAAAATAAATTTAAAATGCAAACTTATAATTTTTTGTTGCAATCTAACGATTTTATAAAAGAAAGTTGTGCTTATTTAAAACATGTCTTGTGATTGGCATTTATTATTTACTATACTTCAGCAATATAATGAATCAAAGATAATTTGATCATTTATATTAATTTATTAATGATAAAAAATTTCTAAAAACTTTAATATAATTATACTATTTTGAGGGATCAAATTATCATTTATATAATTTTAAAGGATTTTTTTTTGTCATTTTCGTAACAAAATTAGCACAATTTATTTCAAATAAATATTTTCAGAAATGAAGAACTGTAATGCAAGGCATAATTATAATGACAAAAGAACAGACATCCCAAATAGACTCAAATCAAATTGAAACAAACATGCCGTTACAATAATGAATATTTTCTTTGACTTGACTACAATTCATGGGCCAATTCACTAAATCTTATTGCTATTGGTCATATATATAATTCAACCAAAGAAAAATGTCATTCTTTTTCATAAACCCCACCAAAGAAAAGCTTCCAGTATGACAAATCAAGCTCAGATTTCAACAATTGTAAGGATCCTCTGTATAAGATCATCACAAATGGTTGTCTCTCTTCAAATTAGTTTCCTTATCATGAACCCGTTGCAGATAGCCATCACCTCTTGCAAACACTATTCAAGCCTTTCACTATTTCCATCAGAAAACATGACAAACAAAACCAAGGAAAAATATGCATTCATAAGACTCCCTATGCATTATCTGATTTGTCTACTGACATTGTAGATAATTCATGACACGAGAGAGGGACGATGATGTTTGGAAGTTAAATTACTACATTGCCATGAAACATATACTAGGACAATTTTAAACAATAACTAGGCAAAAACGGACCCAAATGTTTATTCAAACAAACAAACAAGGTCATGATACAATCGCTCTCCAATCCCTTTTCATATTTGACAGCATGTACAGCCTGTAAGTCTTTGAAAACAGTAAAGCTTGTAAGTCTTTGAGCTGTTCTCCACGGTGTACCTGGTGTCAAGCGGATGTTGAAGACATACTACAGAGACTGCAGCTGTGCCCAGCAGATTTGGAGATCAATTGTGCATCATAGGTATTACAGTCAGTTCTTTAATACTCATATGGAAGACTGGTTTGTTTTTAACTTAAAACATTACTTGGGGAAGGAGGGCGGGATTAATTGGGAATTTTTATGGGGGGTTGCTCTCTGGAAATTGTGGAAATGGAGAAATGAATGCAGCTTTGAGGAGGCTTTTCAAAAACCTATGAATCCCCTCAATGAAATATTGCATGCATGGAAGTTCTATGTGGATAATGAAGAAGTAGAAGAGCCCATCACTTCAATGGCTCAAACTCAACTCGATATTTGGGAACTACCCCCAATAAATTGGGTGAAAATTAATGTTGATGGTGCAACTGCTTTAGGGAGTTAGAAAGCTGGATGTGGGGGAGTTTTACGTGACCATAATGGTCATTAGATAGACGGTTTTTGTCACAACCTGGGCACGTACAGTGTTTATGAAGCTGAAACATGGGCTGTATTGAGAGGTCTGCGAATAGTATGGGACTTTGGTTTTAAACACGTTATTTTGGAATCAGATTGTAAGAATTATGAACGAAAGAGATTCTTAAATATGCTCAAGTGGAAATGGAACGTTAGGATTCATTATGTGCACTGAGAGCAGAATCAAGTAGGCCAAAGAGGCTATTGACTGCTCTTCTTTGTTTCAGGTTCCTCCTGAGTTCTTAAGGAGCTTGCTTGCTTCTGATTTTTTGGGATTTCCATCCCCTATGATGTAATATTCTTGTAGTTTGGGCTTCGCCCTTCTTGTGTGCGCGCGCGTGCGCGCGTGTGTGTAACACTAATATGTATCCATGAATGCTGCAGTGGCACATTATCTGCCGTACTTATTAAAGTTCTCGAATTTTCATTTACAAAGGCGCTAAAAATAGAGGATCTGCCAAGGTTGATACCAAAATGGTATGGATATAAGGTAACAGGATGGGAAATCTTTATTTATTTATTTATTTATTTTAAAAAAAGGCGCTTTAGTCAATGGTCATAATGCATGCCAATGTTAGACTTATAGAAAACATTGAACAGCATGCCATAGTTGTGATAATTTGTGGTATTTTAGCCTAGATAATTGTATGTGCAATGAATTTATTATAAGAGGCTAAAATACTAATGCAAATGTATATTAGATGTTAGTACTTAATGGAGTTGTTTGCAACGCTAAATGGCCACTCGTGATAAAATGTGTAATTATAGTCCTTTGATTACATGTGGGGTTTGGATGGCAAATATGTTCCTGGAATGTAAGAATGTTTGTATGAATACTCAATTAGCTATATGTCAGTCCCTAGGATGTGGTTCAAATAAGGCTAATGGCACCTAGCCTGTGTTTAGGACACCTTAGGGTTGGTTGTTTTGAAAAGAAATTGTTTTGTACTCAGGTATCCAACTTTTAGATGGGATATTATTTTGGTGTAAAACTGGTTCCATTAACTAGGTAGCTAAGTTAGTTATGTGTAGGCATTTAAATTACTCTAATCAAGTGTTGGATGATGAAATTATGCATGCCTGAATTTAGCTTCGAGTGATATTCTACTAGCAAAAGTTGTTATCATATGCCAGCATGATGCACCACAGTACATGGCACATAATGCATCTAATCGCAGCACATTGAAGGGTTAGTAATGGCATGCCTGGCGAATGACACTTGTGCTGTGGCAGATAGACCAAAATAGGGGAAAATAACATTTTGTCCCTATTTCAATATTTTAACTTTCTTTATTATTTGCCTCACTTCTGAATTGATTTTATACTCTGATTTAATATAGGTTTGAGCTCAAACAATTTAAAAAGGATTTTATTGGTATCCTAAGTTTTAAAAATGTTATTCATAAACTATGGTTTAATTTTTTTATCATGGTAAGCTAAAGGTGATTAGTCAATCCCTAATTGTCATGATAGGGTGTCTAGTGTTTATGTGTTTTGGTAATGTTTGGTTGGACAGTACAAAGGTGATACATATTACCTTTGTAATATCCTAAGTTTTCAGCTTAAAACTTTGAGTGTTTAAGAAGGGTAAATGGGTCAAAATATGTTATTTATAAATTAATGGTGTTTTTGGGACACTAATCAAGTTATTGGATCTTTGAACAGCCTTGAAAATGAGTTAAGATGATGTATAGATCAACCAGGCTTGAATGGGAGGTCAAAGTGGCACAAGGTAAGGCACGCATATTGCGCCGCGGCACACGATCACTTTCTAAGCTAAATCAAACGCGAAATGTGTTTGATTTCAAAAGAGAGAAAAGAGAGAAACAAGAGAGAGGTGAAGGAGGAGGACTTGGGGTATACTAAAACTTCATGTTGGGAGCATTTCAAGAGCATTTTGAGCAAGAATCACCCTTAAGTAACCTTCCTCTTCCTCTCCTTCCTCTTTTATGTGAAATTTCTAAGATTTTGTATTTTTCTTGGGTTATACCCGAACCCATTAGTTTAGTTAAGGTCTTGGAGAGTTAAATCAAGTTTCTAAACCTAGTTTTATGGATTGTGTAGTGATTTGAAATTTTTGGTTAGAGTTTGGACGAACCCTAAGTGAAAATTGAGAGTTTTGTAACAATGTGGGCAAATGATTGGTGATATCAGTGCGTTTGGGTGTTAAAGGAAATTAATGAAGTGTGTTGGAAAGGTTGATGTTGAAAAAATAAGATTTTTAGGTAGAGCCGGTAATTTGGGCCAAGCTCGACGGGCCAACCCGAATCCGCCCGAAAAATTTAAGCCCGAGCCCAAAAAATAATAATTTTTTATTATTCGGGCCTATTCGGGCGGCCTGAATAGACCCGAATACCCGAATAGAAAAAAATAATTTTTTTAAAAAAATATATAATATAATAAATATTAATTATTTTTAAAGTTTTATATTATTTTATTCTAAAATACCATATATTTGAGTGTATTACTATAGTTATTTTTTAAAAATAAAAATATTTATATTTTCTTATTTTTATTATTTTTAATTAAATAAAATATCTCAAAATAATAATTAAAATATATTTTAATATTGATTTTTATATTTTAAGACTCAATTTTTTTCAAAATAAAAGTTAAGTCATATACACCATTTTCTTGTCCAAAAAATTATATTTTATA